CCGTCCAAACCATCAAACCTGTAGCATCTGCTTTAACATAGAACAGCACAAACCTGTCCCGCTGTCTCGTCTTATGTGGGACTGCATTGAGGTTTTAGTCTTTTTTCCTACATTCTGGTGGTGTCCAGTATTTCCAAGTCAACGCTTCTTTAACTTCAACACCGCAGCAGCAGTCGGCCTCCTTCGGACACGCTCAACCACGAATCATGTGCCTCAGTGGCGATCTGGAGCAGTGATGGAGCACCGATAAAGAATGAAATACTATAGATAAGTGAAGCCGGCGGGAAGTTATTTTTGCTATATTATTCAGTTATGCAGAGTTTACTGTGCCAAACAGCTTCATGGATTTAAGGGAATAAATGAATGTAGCAATGCATGTTTATATTATTCACATAGAGACTGAGCTGGGGTAAAATACAGTATATTTGTCTGTCACATGCTGAATACCAGACCTGTATCCTGCACACGAGTCACCTGCCACACTGTGGGCAGGGTGAACGGGTCGGGGGGGGGGGTCTCAGATCCAGGATTAGATCCAGTCTGGCTTAGAGTAGACCTCAGATCCATCACAACTGTTTCCATATCCCAATGCATTATTCAGGCTTTCCTATCCTATCTTTAATTCCTCTGGGTGCATATCCGTGTTCAGCAGTGTATGCTTTAATGTTCTGTTAATCAATAATTCATTAAGTTTGTCTATATTAACAGCTCGTGTGGTCATGTCTTTGTTTCTCTTTTGTTTAAGTGTAAGAAAATGTGTTATAGAAATCACATTTTCATTTCAAGTCACTCCTATTTTTTCTCTTTAATGAAGAATACATCAGTTATTGCTCGTGTTTTGTAAATAAAATACAAGTTCTATTATTTTTTGCTCTTTTTAATAAAGACGTGCATGCTTACACTGAGAAAGAGTAAAATTACCATTCTTGGTAAAATTTGTTCTGCACGTTCTTTAAATCCTTTGTTGAAATCGTTATCATCAGTAGGTTCTGTTTTTGGTAGCGTTCGTGTGCATTCGTGTCCCTCTGTCAACACCACAGCTCATTTTCAAGTTTTGACTTTATGCTGATAAAACTCAGTGGGGGTGTGGAGTGGGGTCGTGTCTACGATCCATAAAAAAATGTAGCTTACATCCATTTAGCTCTTTAAGGTCAACTTAATGAATTATTGGTGGAAAATTGACAAAAAGCCTTAAAATTTAGGAACTACGACTCTTAAATGTTTGGTGCTTCTAAATGTATTAATGTGCTTTTATTTGATCTTAGATTTTTAGAATATTTGTTCATATTTAAATATCCAGTAACATTGACTTTATTGGTAATCAAAAGATAAATATTACATCTAATTCGCACAGTTATTCAGGTGAAATGTGTTGTGAATATCACAGAAAACTAGCTCTCCGTTTCTACTTCCAGTTTAAGCTCTCGGTTGAGTTTGTATGAGCCGTACGTCATAAACTGCTGCAAATATTTTTAGAATCACTAACCAATGACAACAGCGTCAAGTCACGTGAGTTTGAAAAGCTGCGTTCATGAAAAAAGCCTAAACAGAGCAGGACTGAAACCCTCGTGATGCCGTCCACGTTAGTTCGAGGTCCAGGCTCCTCTTTTTCCTAATGCCACATCTAAAAAATTCAATATACTTTCAGTTATTTATCAATTTGATGCAACACATTTTAAGACCACAGTTTTGTGTTGGAGTAAGCCCAAAGCTCTGGCTCGCTTAAGCGATCAAACCCCAGCAACACTTTTGACGCAGCTTCAACACTGTTTACACGTTTATAACACGTTTATAACCTGAGAAAAGACCATTGTGGTGTGAAATCGATCATACTTGTAATGCTGAGACATGCTTTAACATGCAATAGTGGGACAGTTCCTTACACTGCAGGATGCAAACACAAACATTTAATTAAATGGATTCAATTCAGTTTCATTCACACAGCACCAAATCACAACATGTCACAGCTGTCAATTCATCTGTCATCATGAGAAACACGAGTCCAGTGTGACCTCATGTGGGCAAGATTAATAAAATGACTTAAAACATAATTTTGCATTAGTGTAAAAAGTTCACTCTAAAAATCCAACTTTACTTATAGAGCAAAAATAACACCAGTGACCAAAGTGCTCTCCAGTAAAAAACAGATAAATCTCATACATTAAACGACAAAGAAAATTAAACAATATAAACAAAATAAAGAAGAATAAAAACCCTGACTGCACGCTAACTCTGGTCCTACTCCTAAAATGGAAAAAGGTGTTTTTAAAAGGCCGGATGGGAGTGTTGGGCGGCCGCGTCTGGATCCGTGGCTCTCACAGTGAAGACCATCCCGATGGGCCCGAGCGGCTGCAGGGGGGGATATGAACTAATGAACTCGACGGCTAAATACACAAGATGACACGGTGCCAGGTTTGTGTTACTGCGCTGAGTTTTTGTGATATAATTGAGTTTTGAGCCTGTTTGAGGTTTTAACTCCTGTTGTTGGCCTCCTCAGAGCTCCCACTGTTTGGATCCCCTGATTTGTTTCTGCAGGTTTGGTTTCTTTGTCAATTTTTAAGTTTTTTAATCATTCATAATTGGGGTTGCTCTAAGTTACTTTCACTTCCTTGTCCCTCACATTTAAATCTACGACACCATGAAAAGAGTTTACGATGCCATCCCGCTGACCTTCGTTTGACTCGAAGTCGACGTGTTTAAAATCGCGGCCTCGCATTGTTTTTGATTTTTAAAGGATGAGGGAGAAACACACAGACAGGGCCTGAAAAGATGTGACTGCACAAAATTAACATAAAACAATTAGATTTAAAAATGATGCGGGGGTTGGAAAATTGTTGCATTTGAAAGGTGTTTCATTTTGGGGGGGGGGCTGTATGGTTGGCAGTATGAGTTATTTATAATATGATAAGAGCGTTATGCATTATTCTGTGAAACGTTAGTTATGCATGGTTTTTCTATCTAATTGTGGTGTTCAAAAACAAATTACACTCATCTGGTGGCTGGGAACTGAAAAGAAAAGTGTAATACAAGTAAATAAACCACTTTGCCAGCAAACCAACAAACCACACAAACTCAGCAGCTCTGTAGGGGCTGTAATGGCGGCAGTTTCATCAAACACCTGGACGTGAGCTTAGATTCACAGGCAAAGCCAACAAACAGGCCGATGAGCCGGGAAACCTGGTGTCCGCTCACTCAGGACTCACCAACGACATATTTCACAATACATTAAATCTGCCGTCCCCAGCCTCTTTTGCGCCACGGACCAGTTTATGTCCGACAATATTTTCACGGACTGACCTTTAAGGTGTCGCGGATAAATGCTACAAATAAAACCAGTACCGGTACCAAAAAAATATTTATTAATAACACACAGGAAAGAAAAAAAACAGGGAAACAGAGTTAACGATAAAAACAATTAAAAAAAACAACAACGATAAAAACCCTGAAAACCATAAATTTCACACCTGAGCTTCAATTCTCGCGGCCCGGTACCAAACGACTCGGGCACCAGTACTGGTCCATGGCCCGGGGGTTGGGGACCGCTGCATTAAATAACCAGCTGCTAGCTTCCTGCTCTCTTAGCACAGGCCTTTAGGCCGTCATCATGTGACCTGATGCTGACGCTCGGCTCAGGTAAAGAATATGACTCCATTTGTGAGCCAATATATCGGCTATTTAAAATACCACAAATAATTGATACAACAGATTTAATCACAGTCCAGTTATTAGTAGCTGGAAGTGCTGCCAGAACCCGCTTGAGCACCACTGAAACGAGCATTTCAGCATTTGAACGCTAACGTTTAATTTATTAAAACTGGTGGAAAGAAAAACAAGATGTAAGCCCCGGCTAATCCTGCAGTCACACGAGGGAGAAACAGGGGTGCTTTAGTGACGAAGACCAACCACTAACTATAGGACTTTAACCAGAATACAACCAGTTGGCATCCAGCTTAGTCAAGTCCCCTACTGCAAAGACACGTCATAGATGATCCGAGTTAATCGATGCAGACCAGCTTAGATTGTTTACAACCTGCATTTATAAATCAGACTGTAATTATTTGACAGTGATTGTTGGACTGTTTGCAGATCGGTTGCTTTTCTACCATTTTCTACCAATCAGTCTGTGACAGCAAAAACACTGAATGCAACCACTGATTGTTGGTCATCACGGGGAGGTTACTGTGCTCTGGTGTGAGTAAACCCTAAGTTTCAGTGGTGATAATTATGAGCTGGTGTTTGGAGCCATATTACAAATTGTAAAACAGACAGAAATGTTGGTTAAACAAAGTTCTGCTTAAAAAGCCTTCAGCTGGACTTTTAGATGTTGACTTCATCAGTCAAAAGTAGCTTACCTGAAAAACACGCTGCTGTTTTGCTCTTAGTGTCAATAAAGTGGTGTTTGGGATTATAATTTACAAAACAAACTCATCTTATATTCATTAAACATGATCAGGGAAGTGTTTATAGAGTCCATAGATCAATTTTGTCATAGACAATCGTGTTTTTGCAGCCAGAGAAGTCGCCCCCTGCTGGATACTGGAAAAAATGCATTTGCTTTGTTGACAAAAAACCAATTGTAACTTTTTATTTGAATTTTTCTTTTTAATCTCCTTCAATCTGTTTTCAGCTTTCCATCTGAACCAAATTGCACAGTTAATCCACTGTATATAAAGGATGGCCTGAACCACTGTGACATCACCCATCGAGGTGTCCAGTTTGGTTTGTCCTCCTTAGATTGTTGCTGGTGTTTACAGAAATAACCTGAGCTCTCTAGCTTCTCCTTAGCTGAGGACTGGCTGTCTCTGCTTGCAGTTTGTTGCTAGCACACTGATTCATATTGGCAGAATATCGCCTCCATTACAGGTTTCCAGTTATTTAAATCCACACCTTCCAACCAATCAGAATTCAGAATTTTTAGCAGCATAACAGCACCGAAGACACCAGCCAGACTGAGCTGAGAGTCAACAGCTGCTGTCTCAGTATGAAAACACGAGTCTTACCTTAAACCTCTCCGTCACCTGAAGTCGCGCTCAGTGGATGTCCAGCCAGCCAATCAGAGCCACCGCGGTGCCGCTCGTTCAGAGCCGATGAACCGAGCCAAACGCCCTCCAAATCTGCTGCTGCTGTTGTGCAGTGCTGGACTGAAGACCCATAGCGACGCAGGTCCAGACAGAGACGCCCTCCCGTGCCTCTCCCAGCAGCCTTCAGGAGTGTGTGGCTGAAATACAAAAGAAGAAAGAGGCCGAGAGATGAGTGAGCGCTTCGGCGTGCAGAGGAATGTCTTAATGACTGTCTGTCTGTGTATCTAACCTCATGTCCGTCGTCCCGCTGCTCTTTTATGCTCCAAACCGAGAGTGTGACCTCAGTGCGTGTGAATTAGAGCTTAAACAGACATGAATGAGGAAATGTGAGGCACACAGTGCCTGAGAGAGTCTGAGTATCGTCAACAGTCAACAGAAAACCTGCAAGAGGTGAAAACATGACATTTAATTTCATGCAAGCAGAGAAACACGATTAAATACACTCGACTGACTTACAGCATCACATCTGCATTGTACTGTCATTTTACACTGTGCTGCTACACAGCGCACATACATGTGACACACACTGGAAAATATACTGAAATATTCAAAGACTGACAGTGAAAAATGTGTTTTTAAATGTATTGAAATGCACTCACATTAAATAAAATTAGCTACTTGTTAGTTTTTACTTTCAGTATATTAGCTAGCAAAGCAAAGCAGGTGCATGTGGTTCTCATTAGATGAGGTGAATACTATTGTTTTACTTTGCTCTTTATTTCGTGCTCGAGGGCGTAAAAATCCTGCACTGATGTGTTGATTGCAGTGTCACATTTACCCATTAACACTTCAGGGGAGGATTTTTTTTTCACCTGTTGAGAGAAAGAAATAATGTGCAAGCTAAAATAAGAAATGAGGAAATGCAAAAAGGCTGAGTAGAAAATGTTGTTTTACTCAAATCAAATCTGCATTTTAGCATTTATGTCACTGAACTGATACGAGATAGTGTGCCATCTTAGGACAACCTTACGGTGGCCCTGAGAGGCCAAACGGACTGCAACTAAAGAAAACACCAGCAATAAGAAAAACGCTGCAAAAGCACACAAAACACAACGGAAAAAGATAAAAACTGATTTCCAAAAGCACAAGGGAAGTGTTTCTGGGGAGACAATAATCCAAAAAATGCTGAGAACTGAGAGACACTTAAAAGCGGAGGATCTGTCGATTTTGTGAGGAAAGAAAAGATGAACAGTAAGTGTGTTAGCCTAACTATTAGCACAAAAATCCGTCATCAGTATTTTATGAATCATGATAAGACACACCCACCATGTTTTGAGTTCCTGCAACTGGTGCGTCGGGTTATTGTCTCCCCAGAAACACTTCCCTTGTGTTTTTTCCTATTTCCGTTGTGTTTTGTGTGCTTTTGCAGCGTTTTCCATTAATGTTCGCCAGTGTTGGTCAAGTTACTTGAAAAAAGTAATAAGTAACTAATTACCGATTACTTGCCCAAAAAAGTAATCCCGTTACTTTACTGATTACTTATTTTCAAAAGTAATTAATTACTTAGTTACTTAGTTACTTTTTAAAAACACGATTTACAACCTGAAGAGGTGATAAAGCGATAGATTTTTCAGCCCAATTCTACTTTTTCTGCATAATCCATCATACAAAATGTAATCAAATGGAAAAGTCTCTTTTTAAAACTTGTTTTATTAGTTTTAATCTTTTAACTTTATGCATCAAGCAAAAATTTAATTATCTGCAACATTCTCTGACTGGAAGAAATTAGTTTAATATTTAAACCTATTTTCTGCACATTCCAGCACATAAAATAAAATATTTTTTGTGTTTACACTCAGTCTTTCAAATAGATGCAAGTAAAACACAGCAGAAAATAAATAAAGTCAAAGACTCAGCGGTCCTGTTGCTCTATTTTCACCTGTAAAGCAGGAGCAGGGTAGGCGGAGGTTTACCCTGGTGCAGGTGTGCCGCGGTCAGTGGAAGAATCCGCGAGTTTCTCTGTGAGTTTCCCATTACGTCGTAGCTACTCGGTGCTTGTTGGAAGTTTAGGGGTTTTTTCGCTGTAAAAAGAAGTTTTCTTCCCACGCACAGCGGACACTAATGTTTTTGTCACTTTTTATGGAATCAAACTCAAAGTAAGGTCAGTACTTCCACGCTTTAAACGCTGCACGCTCATACTCTCTCCCACAATCGATATATGATCCATTATTGATCTGCACACAGCTGTTGTCACTAACGTCGCACTCGCTTACGTCACTGTCGTGAGACATTCTCGCAAAAAAATCACGGTTTAAGTAACGCAGTAACGCAGCGTTCCTACGGGAAAGTAACGGTAATCTAATTACAGTTTTTGCAATAGTAATCCCTTACTTTACTCGTTACCTGAAAAAAGTAATCAGATTACAGTAACTGCCCATCTCTGATGTTCGCTAACCTTCACTTCCTGTTACGGAAAACGTTTAGCCGGTAGTTTCAAGAATCCTGTTTTACCCCCCGGAAGGTCATAAAAACGGGATTTACTTAAAGGGGTTAACTATTCATAAATCAACAGGCTGAGTGGTTGAAGAGATGATTATGAAGCTACATATCAGACTTTAGTATTTTTAATTTCAGCCTCAGCGGGCTGATGATCGAAAAATGCTCTGACATGCAGTTTTATCCAGGTAACTGAAAGTATCAAAATGAATCTGTGCAACAGTATCTGCTCTAAAAACATCTTTTGGGAGTATTTCCCAATTGTTATTAATATTATTATTGTTTTACTATTTAGTGAGTCCAATTTTTCCATATTTCAAATATTATTTTATATACTTTAAAGAAATACAGAATATACATATTCTATATAAATATTTAGATAAAAACATTACTGGAAACATTTCTGTCGTAATACTACCAAGGCAAACACAATAAATCCACAGCACCAGATATAAAAGTCCAAAGAACTGCTTTGATAATCGAAGCTGAGATATGGAAACGCAACAAAGACGAGAGAAACACGAGGTTTAAACAACATTATGTGTCATTTTACACGTTTGTTTCTTTAACTGAAGCCCAAAAAGTTGTATTTCACTATGTTGAGATATCTCAGAGATTAAATATGTTCCCAAAATTTGCAGTGGGACAAGTGAGGAAGTAATGACCAGCAGGTGAACCAATCAGGGAGGAGCAGACCATCACAAACACTGACATGAACGCTCAACAAGATGTGAGAGACAAGGAGGCACCAAGTCCAGTAAATAAAAACAACAACTTCTCAGTAGAAACCACAAAGTGAAACAATAATGGAGACATGAACCAAAACACAGGATCGCACGACAGCCAATCAGAAAACCACAGAGTCAAACAGAAGCAGGATCTCAACGATATGACACGAAATCAGAGTCAGCGTTAGAATAATAACGAAATCTTTCAAAGCTTCAAACACTAGAATAAAAAACCCAAACAGGAAGTTAAGCACCAAGACCTCTCACCATCAGCGACCATCACCCACCTGTGCTTCCAACAAAGCCTTTAAATCAAAACTAATTTTTCTTGCGACCACTTTGGCAGCGTGGCTGTCAATCATGTCGATCATGTGATGGTAGCAGCAGGCATGCGCCAGTCCCAGGAGAGTCTGCAGTCGTGGCTTGGATGGCGTTGCTAGCTCCTCATCGCTGACACGATCCAAACACAGATGCTTGGTTCCATCACAGGAAGTGAACAAGAAGTTGAGGTTAGTGCTTCCTGCACTAAAAACACCTTCTGTCCAACGTTAACGTGAAGCAGTCTACCTGTACCTGGGATGTTGATGACCACAGGACGAGGTTAAAGGTCATTCACAGGATCAAATCCACTGATTTAGAAACAGATTTTTAAAATATTACCTGATATTGTCCAGATGTGACTTTGTGTGAAACACGCGTGCTCCAAAGACAGTAAAACTACAAAACTGACAAAAAAAACTACAGATTTAAACATTTAGAGTGACATCATGCATGTTTCCCATAATGCAGTGCAGTCTGCAGTTATTACTGCACAAGAGAGTTCAAAGTTAATGTGCACGATACACAGCACCTACATGCAAATAGAAGATATGTAGTGTGTGTGTGTGCGCGTGTGTGTGTGTGTGTGTGTGTGTGTGTGCGTGTGTGTGTGTGTGTGTGTTGGTGTTGTTGAGACAGAGCCCCCCCCCAGACAGTCTGGCGTTCAGCCAGGACTGATCGGGGTCCCGAGACGTCCCAGAGAGTGACCCGAAGACTCGGCTGTCGGTCCGCATGAGCATCAAACACACACACACACACACACACACACACACACACACACACACACACACACACAGAGCAGTCAGTAGAGTTGAGGGGGGGGGGGGTGCTATCTGAAGGTAAAGGAGGGGTAAACTCCTCTCTCTCTCTCTCTTGGCTCCCTCTCTTGGACCAATCACAGATCTACAGGCTGATGGAGCTTAAATCCCAGAACAATAAACTTCTGATCAAATAATCCTTAAAAATAAGTAAAAAGTTGAGACGTGACTGCAGATACATGAAGAGGAAGGACTCGCGCTGTAAGGGCCGAGGCAACGATTCAAAGTACTCAGTGCGGACAGAATGTAATAATAATGTTTCCAGATGTCACACAGACTCAAACTGTCCAAATCAAGACGGAATAACTCCAAAACAAAAATCATAAAATCATTTATTTGCTACCTGACACATGCAGACAGCGTCACAGCAGTCCTACAAAAGCCTCTGCAGCCGGACCAAAACACCTTTGTACTCTTATTTTGAAGGACGACTTCACTTTTGAATATGGTCAGTAAACAAAAAGTGCATGTACACAAAATCCTGTCACATCTGAGGAAACTCATTAATTTGCCCATAAATAAAGTTCAACGTCTGTCATCATCGTTTTTCTTTTTATATTAGTGTTTATGTTTATTTTGTTTTGACTTTTGAGTTTGTTTGGCTGAGTTTCCACTGCACGTTTGCTTGTTTACTTTGATTTCATCGTCAGATCTACAGCACAGGTGTTAAATATAAAAACACTGATTTTTGTAAACAGTCGACTCTCACTGATCATCCAAAGCCTCGTTAGATGAACGAGTTCTAAAACTGAAGATATTTACTTCTTTATTTTTTATTAATTATATTTATAAGGATATTTCTTTTCATAAAATGCTTGTTTCAAGTGTATTTTATTATTATTCTAATAATCTTGGTTATAATTATCGTATCAAGCTGTTGTCAGACGTACAGATCCAGTGTTTGACTTTTACGTATCTCCTGTGAACGTCACATGCTGAGCAGTGTTACCATGTTTCTGAAGTTGTGGCCTTTTTCTCCCGGGAACACGCAGCAGCTGAACCTTCGCACACAGTCAGGGTGAGATTTGTTTCTCTGGTCAAAGCGCTGCTTTGTTAGAAGTGACCTTCAGTTTTTAAAAGGTTCCTCCGCTCCCTCCTCTTCATCAGCACTCAGCACGTCCTGAAGGACAGCGCCTGAGAGGAGCAGGTGGAAGGAAGAAGGTTGGTCTGTGGAGTATTTACTTCAAAAAAATGATCACAGTTAATATTATTGCATCGGTCAGATTTAAATATTTGTTTATCACCTCCCGGGATCGTTTACAGATGATCAGCTCATCACAGAGCTGGAGGGGACATGAGCTTTGATGATGATGCTTTTCTGGATTTCTTTCCTTTATTCAAAGACTCTGACTCAAAGAGTCTGACTCCACTCTGCCCTGTGTGACCGCAGCATGGACGCCCTCCACCCTGATTCTCAGAGGCTCGCCGGAGTGCATATGTGCTCCACAGATATCAGCTGTTTCCTCACCTGAAACTAAAAGTATATTTAGAAAACAAACACGTCGTACGTGTTATTATCCTGCCTCCAATTTTCTGCAACATGCAGTCCGACCTTCAAACCAGAGATATTGAGGTCACATGTTCAGATTTCTGATCTCTGGGCCTTGTTTACCCCTTCTCTCTCTCGCTCTCTCCATCCCCTTATTCACACACACACACACACACACACACACACACACACACACACACACAGAAGCACACACACACACACACACCCCTCAACCCTCTGGCAGTTATCTGTTGTATGGAAACACAGCTAACCCTGCTGCCCTCCGATTGTTCCTGCTAAACCAACCAACCAACCCAGCTGTCCATCCATCCATTCATGCATTCATCCACAGTCAATACGTTACCTACTGTTAAACACACACACACGCACACACGCTGACATTTGCAGCTGAAACACGGTGGAAACTCAAGCTGGTATCGACTTGAAATTTGGAGAGATTTGCTCAGTGCAGCAAACTGCATCCACACACTCAGCTGCTCCTGTTTCTACTGCCCCAGGCTCAAACGCTGACATTTTATCTGCCGCCGCATCGCCGCTGAAAACGCCTGACTGTGATTGATTAATCTGCCAACACAGAGTTATGTATCTGCACTTCTGATGATTAATGCCAAACGATTTTAAAGACTAAAGGCCGATAACTCTTTAATGAAAGCGTCTCAGGCTCCAGAGGTTTGTGTTCACTGTTTTAAAACTCAGTAAATTACATTTGTCTGCAGGTGAGACAAAGCAGGATAAAACAGGACACTGTGTGATGCTAACAGGTTGATTTTAGTTAAGTGAAAGACTAATTATAGTTCTTCGTCAACTTTAAGAAAAACGTTTTTTGGTGCCATTTCAATTCTTCATTTATATTTAAAATTAAGGAATAGTTTGTTTTTCAGTTTACATTTATTTAATCCTATTAAATAATATGATTTGAATTACTAATATTACTAATATTTAATTTTAATTATGATTTAAAGAAAGGACATATTTAAATAAAATATGTGTTTAGATAAATTATTATGAACAAAATAAGAATATAAATATAATCAAAGCCTTTTTCCCTCTCTATAAATGTTAAATATTTCAGGCATATTTAAGTCCAAAAAGGTTTAAACTAACTTCCAAATATAGATTCTAAAGAAAGAAACCTGCAGTTCCCCTGATGCCCAGCAGGGCGGCAGCAGTGAGTCAGTCCCCATAGACTCCCATGTTAAACCTTTACAGCAGAAATAAACACGTTTACAGGCTGATACACAAACTGATTGGTCTCTATAGATAATTTCCTTTCAAAACACCTACATGTGTTTTTATAACTTAAATTGTATCAAGGCTCAACATCTGTATTATTAAGGCGGGGCCTCTTAGCTACCATAGTATTACCTGATAATTTAGTGGTTCACCTGTCCAAAAGGGGTATGGCTCTTTAAAACTAGGATGGCGATGACCACAGTGGGGTCTCAGATCAAACCAGTGACATCACCACTGGGTGGTGTCTCGGTGGCTACGTCCATCATTAATATATTACAGCCTATGGATTACTATTGTCTAGTGACAACTGCAATTATTTTTAAGGAATATGGACGAGGTGGGGCTGATGGATGGGCCGATAGACTTTAACCAGAAACAGGATGTGGTGGAACGGGAGAATGCTCTACATTCAATTTGTTTAAGGCAAAGCTTAAAAACTGGTTATGGACAAATCAAGTGTGTGATCATGTATGAGTTGTATAGTTTTAATGTTTTATTTGGGAACAGAATGGTGTGTATGTGTAAGTTTGGTGATGGAGTTTTTATTATGAATGAATGATGAATTTTTATGAATTATTATGCCTATTTTTTATGCTTAAGGACAACAGATGGAAATTAGCCCTTGGCTATAATCTGGTATGTTTACATTCATGTATTATTTTTTTTTACATTTATGTTCATTAACATGCACTGTCCTAAATAAAATAAATAAATATTCACATGGTGATGAAGTCATGTCGACATAGAGCTAAATCTCTGAGGAATGTTTGCAGCTGCTTGTTGAATCTGTGAAATGAAGAATTCAAACAAGTCTGAAGGTAAAATAACAAAGTGTACCTAATGAAGTGGCTGGTGAGTTATTTTTCATCAGTGGAATACCTCCCACTGTGCAGGACAGGGATAACCAGTGTGCAGTACCATTACTACCAGCAGTGCTACTGAAATACTGCTTGTAGTAATAAGTTCAAGAAAAGATGGAAGCAGCGGCGTCACAGTAACTGTAGGATCAAGTACTGGAGTCAGCATTCAGAAAGCCAAACACACACACACACACACACACACACACACACACACACACACACACCCTATCCATTGTTAATGGGAGTGAAGCACTCAGTGTTTGACTGTGGGTGAGCGAGGAGGCGGCGGGACGTCAAACAGCATCAACGTCAAAACGAGCAGCATTCAAACTCAGCTCAACGTCGCCGCCCTGCTGCTGCAGCAGGAGCACTGCACCTCATCGGACCTCAGCCTGTGTTCTCTTTAACTGTCTGCAGTTTTACATGATTGCATCTGCTCTCTAAACACAGTCACAGCTCACATTTATCAGACTGTAAATGAGAGGAGACCAGTTTGTTCTCACGGTAACTCAGTTTATGAAGATTAGGGATGGGTATCGTTTAGGTTTTATCTGATACCGGTGCCAAATCGGTACTTTTGAAACGGTGCCGGTGCTTAAACGGTGCTCAAACCGGTGCTTAAAGAATGGAGAACACAAAATTGGTCCAAAAACCTCTCATGTTCATCTGTTTTTTGTAAAAAGATAACAATGTTAGCCTTTTCTGCAGCTATGGGGCATATATGGCATCACTCTTGGCTGGAAGCTTAAACAATGGAAAAAACACAAACTTAAAACCTCTCATGTTTAACTGTTTTCCACTTTTTCTTTGGTCATTTTAGCCTTTTTGGCCAGGGTGAAGGGAGTATCTGCCATCACACAAGAAGACAGCCGCATGTAGCTATGATGATGTTTGCTAGTTCACCTTACATGCATTAATGTAATAACGTGGTTAGTCTACTCAACGTAAATTACACACGAACAACATTAAGCTACTCACGCAGAGAAGAACGGCTGCTGCTGCATCATCATCCTCATCATTTCTGCTACACTGGCAGGGCTAGGGGCCAGGACTCTCCTCTTCGGGTTTTTGGGGGATGTTGCATAACAGGCAACCCACCTGCAGTAGATGTGCCCGGTGTGAGGTCTCGCAGCAAGCTATCAAATACGGTGCATTTCTCGGCTTTTAAAAAAAACGCTATGCGTCTCCAGGTGTTTCATCAGATTCTTGGTGTTACCTCCTTTGACAGTATCAGCTTAAAGCACTTGTTGCTGCTGAGTTTGCATATTTTGCTGTGAAGTACAGCCAGACTTTTGACCGCTTTGCCTTGGACATTTTAAACCTGTAGCTCTGCTCTAAAAGAACGTACGTACCTGGCCCCGCCTACTATTCTCGGAAACGTAAAATGATTGGCTAGAAGTGTATCACAGCTCAGGAAAAAAAAAGCACCGAAATAAAGCACCGAAATGTGCGCTGCTTTTCGGTCTGGTTACTACCGTTTATGTCGCACCGGACACCGGTACCCATCCCTAATGAAGATATACTGACATGGTTGTTGGAGCTAAGAGATGAGCCTCAAATCTGTGAAAGTATCTGTGAGCTGAAGACGTCGCTCCAACCTACGCTTTGACTGGTCATTGTACACACTGTTTGTATTTTGAGGAAAGTTTCTGCAGGAATCGTGTGTTTGTGCATCTCCACACATTTTCTGCCATCATGGGTTCAGATCACAGCAGGAGCGTTTCAGAGGAACGTTTTATCCACAGAGTCTTTGGAATTGAAATCTTTGTCTTCAGTGGGAACGATTACATCACAGCTGGAACGTAATGGAGCTGGTCTCGGTGTATTCCTGGGAATTCTGCTGTCAGCTACACTCCCTGTCTTTGTCAGTTTGCCCTCCTTTCTAACTGGCCCATCTCCTGTCTGAGCCCCACACATTTGCATCATCGCTTGGAGGCGTTACCTGTTCTGAGGTAAGCTAGCCTCAGGTGGAAGGGTGTCATAAAGTCCTCCAATACAGCGTCTCCGCTGATGCTGCCTGCGAACCGCACTCTGAAGGTGCTGCGAGTGCTTGTGTCCGATATGTGCCTGAGCCCATAATCTCAGACTGGAAGTCTTTTTGCAGCCGCAGTTATCGCCCCCAGTGGCCATTAAAAGTAATGCAGGTTTAAGCTTGCAGTGCATAGCACAGGAACGCTGCTGGCTTTAAACCAGGGGTGGGCAACTCCAGGCCTCGAGGGCCGGTGTCCTGCAGGTTTTAGACCTCACCCTGGGTCAGCACACCTGAATCACATGATTAGTTCATTACCAGGCCTCTGGAGAACTACAAGACATGTTGAGGAGGTCGTTTAGCCGGAGGGACAACAATCTGCTATGATGCTTGAGGGCTAAAAATGAGCATATGACATCATTAAATGCTGATGATGTAGTGCTGTTTAAAACAATATTATTAAGAACAGACTGAGCACAGAGGTCAAATTCAGGGGCTCCAGTTAGCTGAGGCGAAGCCTCGCGGACAGCTAGCACCTATAGAGTCATCTGTGACATCATTCAGTTGTCAGTCAAAGAGGCCACGCCCCTAATAATGCTAAATTTGAGCCTACACAGGTGAGTTAAAAATAAAACCCTCTGGGTTGTTATAAATGGGGAAGTAACGATAGAGAGCACCGTATCAGGCTGCAAACATTCTGCAGGTGGAGCAGAAGGACGCCCGTTTTAATTTTTGAACATTTAAAACACAAAGTTCAGAAAGTGAAGAAGTAGGTCTGAATATTAAGATCCTATTATCACTTTTATCTCACTGATCTGTGGTTGGAGCTCTCAGAAAAAAAATCCAGGATTTAAACAAGTTGACAAATCAGCTACAAGAAAAACGAGTGTGTGTGTGTGTGTGTGTGTGTGTGGTGATAAAAAAAGATTTTGGTTGCTTTAAGAGAGGGAAGCAGCTGTAGTGTGTGTGTGTTGCTGGATGTTAAACAGACAGTGATTGTGGCTCTAAGTGTTTCTGTTCGGCCTCGGGGGATTAGGTCGTTGACTTTAATGTTCCCGCGGAGCTCGGCGCTGTGTGTGTGTGTTGCGTCGGATTAGTCTCTATTTGAAGTGTGAGGTCGCATCTAATCTGCAGGTCGCTGTAAACAGATGCAGTGATCCCGCCTGTCTGAACACAGTGTTCACTGCCAGCGTTACACAACACGCGGAGATTAACACAGTGATTTCATTCTGATCACACAACTGCTTCCTGTGGAGGGCCGACGTTTCAAACGAGGCGGCTCTGAGGAATCAGAAAATGACAGCAGGAAGAATTACAGCATTAGTGACGCACAGCCTCAGCCACAGGTAGAGATCAGGTGATTCACGCTCTGATTTTTAACCAACTTTAACAAGAAAACGTGGATTTGGTTCATGAAACAAAGACAAAATCTATTTTACACTCACTGTGTGGGGCTTTTATTGTGAAAGGCGAGGATGGGAGGAAAACCTTTTCACACGTGATTAAAACTAATCGTTTTTCAACAACTGGATCGGGCTGAGACAGATGTGAACAAAATGCAGTCTGGTTACGACTGATCAGGAGTGGTTCTCCGTCGATCTGCGACCCTGAGCTGCAGGGAGTGACCAAAAAATGAGGTCAAAGACACAAGTGGTGGAAATGAGCTTCCTTTGTCTGAGTTCACCAGATGTGACGACTGTGGTGTGAATCTAGCGACATCCAGTGAGCATGTGCAGGAAAACCCTCCTGTCTGACACATTACATGTCTGCCTTTTTAGACTTGATGTTTTACCCAGTACGAACCAAAAAGGAGTCACTGTAAACTCACCAGAAACCAGCTTCGACTTCCTGTCGAGTGCCAACACAGGTGCTGCCCCCTAGTGGTTCATTAAAGAGACTCCAGTATCGATAAACTTCCATAACAGCTCCATGGTGCTGTGACCACAGCGGTATGATGCGATGCGCAGCCAGATTCAGTTTCAGCTCAGATTTCTGGAACCTGCTGGATATGAAATGACTGAATTTAGTCTAAACGCCTGCGTTCAGAGGGCGTCACTTTCTTTTACTCATTTCCTGTTTTTCTGCCACCAGAATGTTCCTGCACAGAGTTATCAGGAGCATGTGATGGCTGGGAATTAGGAAGTATTGTTAAAGCTCGACTTTACAGCAGCCAGAAGGACCCATGTGAGGCTAATATATAATTTATCACACTGAGCTTATGTATCTCCTACAGACCGCGTACAGGATGATAGCGCTGTCTCCCACAGGACGCAAGAAGTCACTGAATGTTGTACCGAGGATGAAAATGATCCAGGGACAAAACACAATGCATGTGATTGGCAACTCTGCAGCATTCAGTTGCAGACTGACTTTAGCGAGTGTTTGTTTGCTTCACAATCTCAAAAAGATCAAAGGTGACGTGAGATAACTAACAAAATCGCAATATTTGTTATTCCGACACTCTGCATTTGACAAAACGTTAAAAATCTGGTGATTCCCACTTTGTGCTAACTCCTTCAGAGTCCTCGTATCTCAGCCCAACTGAACACTGATGGTGGCTTTTGAATCTTCATCCTCATCATCAAAGCATAAAACCATGAGGAGAAGCAAAGCTGCAGAATGAAAAGCTCGATGTTGGCTTTTCCTTTAATCTGTCAGCCATATAAACGACGCGATCACCTCTGAAAGTCTATTCGAGCGACCAGCCATCAGTGAGGTCACAGGCCCCGCCCTTCCCCTCCAGGTTTTCTGCTCCAGTTGGCGCAGCTGAGGTCAGGGTTTGTGACCTCAGAGGACCTCTGACATCATTATCGCCCCCGCGGCTGCTGCTGCGGCTGCCATGACCGCACTGAGCACGTGCACCACATCTCTGCTTTTCATGCAGATATCCTTCTACGCTGTAATCCTTCTTAACCCGACATATTCCTAAAAGACCAGCAGAGCCTCAGTCACCTCCCTGCAGCCGCGCTCCACCTCCAGCAGGCTGCCCTACATACGCTGCTCTCCTCCTCCTCCTCCTCCTCCTCCTCCTCATCATCATCATTGTATTCCAGTCAGTTTTTTTATCCTCAGAAATCACACGAGAAAAAAAAGCATGCAAACTTGCACTAAAATCTGTGAAACAGCGAGGTGAAAGGTGAACCTGGTGAATCTGGTTCGACTATTCTTCACCTGTAGTTTGAATGCTGAACATTTGCCTGTCACTATACAGAGATGTGCTTCTGAATGTGGACGATGTGTCTTCTGCTGCAGTGATGCAGTTCTGCTTGTGTTGAGTGATGCAAACAACTGATCGATCTAAACGCTTTAAATGTCAAAATTGATCATTAGACTTTTTTATGACACAACAGCGGTGAGTGTTCCCACCTTCTGCTCTTTGTAACTTAACGCCATCTTTCCGTTTTCGAGTTTTGGACATGATTTTGGAGGATATATCTTCGCAGCAGCGATTGACCGCAAAGTAAAGCTACCGGAAATGTACAACCCCACATCCGGTCTCAAACGAGGAAGTTAGCATTTTCTCGTGCACAGGGTCAATCAGCTCAAATCCAACGGCAGCCTTTGGAGCTGTTACAGGAACTATTATTACTAGAGACACTGAGACTGTGAAGGAGACCAAACAGGTGCGCTCGAAGTAAAGAGATCTTCACTCTGCCTGTACATTACATCAGCAGGTGTTTGCTTCTGCATAAACCCTCCAACACTGCCTATAAATATCATCATGGTCGCTCATTTAATCTCTAATAAGAGAGCCAAGAGATTTGTCCAGATCTGACTATTTAAATGTCAGAAATCTATTTTTTTTTCAGCTTGTTTGGTTTTTTAAGGTGAGATCCTGACTCCGCCCTCCTGAAAGAGTAGTGGAATGTCAGCAAGCAGTACTCGAGTAAATGTACTTCTACTTTCCTCGTTAGGTTGCGTGTACGCAGTCGGCCGGTGTGACCTGAGCTGACCGTGGGGCGGGCAGCGTCGACCTCGGCGGTGTCAGATTTGACCCAGAAAGCAGCGGCGCTGCACTGATCCTGTTCATTTGGTGGGGATTTTGGTCACAGATTACAAAAGCTCAATACCATTTGTTTTGTAACAAGCGTGTGAAGTCAACACTCATAAAAACGCTGCCACTCCGGACTTTGAAATGCTGCAGGACCTCGTTACAGGCTTAATGACTGTTGAGCACATCCAGCGCTGAGGGAGCAGAAGCTCCCGCTAAGCTTTCCAAGGAAAAGTACTTCTTTGATTGTTTGGTCAAAATCTCCTCTGAAAGCCGCAGAACAAAACCAGAGGAGGGATTATCCTCCTTTGGAGAGGAAATGAAATTCTTCAGAAGAGGCACTTAAACGGGTTCCAGCTTCTGCGAGTGTGTGTTGGGGGGAAATACGAGCGGCGCTGTGCGACTTGTTAGCTCCAACAATTTGACATATCATCCAAAAAACGAGGCTCCAAAGCTCATTAGAACAACAGAAAGCGCAGCTGTGGGCTCGGCAAAACCAAACATCAAATCCTGAAAGATGAAGCCAATGAGGAAGGAAAAGCTGCAGTTCCTCTAACGTCCAGCGGAGGCACCAGCAGTGAGTCAGTCCCCATAGACCAGAAATAAACATGTTTACAGCCTGACACACAAACTGCTTCGTCTCTATGGGTAATTACCACCTTTGTAACACCTGTACAGGTGGAGAAAGCTTAAATTGTATTAAAGCTTAACATTTGCGCTAATAGGAACGTGGCCTCTTTGACTGACATCACTAGCATTACCTGATAACTTAGTGCTTTACCTGTCTTGCTAAAACCAGGACGGTGATGACCACAATACTTAAACCAGTGATGTCACAGTAGCTACAGCCATCATTTATTTACAGCTTATATTTTTAAGACACACCCTCTAATGACAGCTGTAACAATGACTGAAGGATGGGGGGGAGGTCAGGTTGATGGAGCCGATGCACTTGAACAGGAAACTGATGTTTATGTCCAGTTTCATATCAGTATCTTAACCACATCTGTGCCTGTGTGATGCACAATTACAGTTTATTAGTGCATCTTCTTAATAGAGCTTGCTAGCATTAGCACTTTACCCTCGGGTGCTGAATGTAGTCCCTTCTGGCATTATCCAGAGCACTACTGTTCAGACTTCAGCCTTTTATGTACAGCCTAAGGTTTACCATCAAGTGACACTGCCCTCTAGTGGTGACTTGAAAAAGGGACAGAGGTGGTTAGGGTGGATGGATGGGTCAGCAGATGACAAAATATCTCCTTTGTGTCACATTTCAAAGAAGGTCTTGCCGTTATCTGTGTGATGTATCCATACAGGCTAACACTTTGCATCCCATGCTAGCTAGCATAGCTAGGCCAGTTTAAGTGGCAGCAAAGTGGCGCTTTGAACCCTGCTCAGTGTTTCTGACACATTCAGATTCTACAAAAATAGGCACACCTTCGTTCTTCTGAAAGGTGAAAGGCGTGCTGAGGACATAAGGAGGTGATCAGCTGCCTCTTCAGTGAGTTTTATGTCTCAAAGATGGACTTGAGCATGTCATCTATCCTCAGTGTTTTACTTCTGCTGCTGAAATTTATGATAAAGTTTCATTTGGTGGAGAGCTGTGTCTCATGTATTTGAAACTCCTCAGATTTGAGCCAAGCCCTGCAAGGATCCTGATCACAGAGGAAACATGAAGCTCGGAGTAAAACGTGTGAATGTTTCATGGGGAAGGAAATGCTTTTGTCAGTTTGCGTGAGGCTCAGTGATGCGTTTCTGTGAGAGATGAGCATCACTGCGTTTACCGCAGGAGGAGCCCGAGAGGGGACGAGTGTGTCGGTAAACATTTGGTCGCGTTTGGCACATTCTGGGACAAAGTTTGAACACGCACCTCTTTAGTAAACTCCTGGGAAAACGGCGAGCTTCCCTCCATGCCCAATCTTCTCCCCATCGTTGGATTTGAACAAACACAGTGATCAATGTGCTGGAAAAACAGCGAAACTTGGGCCTATTAGCGGTTTTTGGAGACCAGGCGGGTCCCTCAGTAACGGGGTCAGGAGTCTGTTGGCCTCCTAACACGTTGCGACTCCGCCGGCCTCGAAGCTGTCTCCTCGCTTCATTCTCATTCGCTGGCCCGCAGCGTCTCTCACTCATTCGAATATTTTCTGGGCTGATGAGGATGCGAGGGCGGCGAACCAAGGGCCGAGAGGGTAACGTAATTGCAGGGGACAAAATAATGACCAGTTGCAGCAAAGTCGCTAAAGTGTGTCATCCATTAAAATGCAAGCGTGTGGCTGAGCACGCTTTGTGGCGTCGGCCTCGTTGGATGTGACAGCAGAAACAAGATGAAGTGAGGACACGCCACAGCGGCGTCCTCAGACCCTCTGATGCTTCCAGGGTTTTGAAAACTGTTCAGGACCTAACAGGTCCATGAGCTCCACATCACAAAATGATCCGGACGTAGATGGGATCACAGCTGGAAGATGACCTTAATTTAAGTTTGATCCAGTAAAAAGTGACAAACATTAGCGTCCGCTGTTCACTCTGCGTGGGAAGAAAACTTGTTTCTACAGCGAAAAATGAAACTTCAAATCTGAGCGAGCGGCGAGCACGCTGCCACGGGAACGTGACATTGACAGAGAAATCCCCACTGACACGCCCGCTGTGGGCAAACCTCCACCCGCCCCACTCCTGCCAAACAGGTGACAACAGATTTAAGAGCTGCTCAGTCTTTGATTTTATTTATTTTCTGCTGTGTTTTACTCGCATCTATTTGAAAGAGTGTAAACACAAAACAGTGTTTTATTTTATTTTATATGCTGGAATATGCAGACAATAGGTTTAAATGTTAAACACATTTCTTCTTGCATATAGTTTAATTTTTGCTTGATTAATTTTTGTTAAAAGATTAAAACTAATAAAACGAAATAAAAGTTTTAAAAGGAGACGTTTTCATTTGATTCAGTTTATATGATGCAGAAAAAATAGAACTGGGCTGGAAGGTCTTTGTCTTTATTACGTACTCAGGTTGTGTATCATGCTTTTAAAGAGTAACTAAGTAACTAATTCGTTTTGAAAATAAGTAACTTTAAACGTGTTTTTCTGCCGTCGTTATGAAGTTCAGCAGAGCAGTCAAAACAGCTGGAAGCATAATTTAAAAGTACTAAATGGAGGTCCTGTAGAATATTCATAGTATGAAGGTAAAACTTTGGATTTATTAAATATAATAAAGTTATTAATCTAAAAAAAATCAGCTGATTCTGAGGGGGTCAGGTGAACCAATGGGGACCTGTCTGTGTTTGTATTGGGCGTGAGAGAGGACGGGCTGTCTCAGTACAGACAGAGGATCATCAGGTAGAAGCTGAGAGGTCAGAAGGTCACCAGCGTCCTACAGGACACGATGAGGATTCCAAAGAGCTCGGCTCATGTTCACAAAATCAGACGAAGCTTCAGATGTTGAGAAGAGTCAAGAATGTCTTCAGTCAACTTCCAACCTCAGAAAACATCAAATTTAAGAAGTCGGGAAAGTTTTCCTGGCTCGGACTTCAGAACTTCAACGATTTGCTTTTAACGACTG